AAGTTACCACATCTTTGCTATTGAATTTATAGTTTCAATTCAAATCAATTCAAATATTCAAATATTTGTTAAATCAAATTGAATATATTGTCAATTTGAATTTGATCAAATCAAATAAATCTATAATTTAAATTTGATTTGATTTAAATATTTAATTAAATCAAATCAAATCAAATCAAATTGCAAAACCCTACTTTTATGATATTCATTAAGAACTTGTTTTGAAACATTTCTTTTTCAGTTATGGATTTTTATTATATATATTATATAATTTCCAATTTTGGGTATCTTAACCCTTGATTGGTATAGTATTTATACTGATAAATTCTTAACTTTTTTCATCATAGACTTTTATACAGATGTAACCAGAGCCTGATTTGGTACCTTTAGCTATACAAAAATAAAATTATATTCTCTATATTAAGTAACTTCCTAAGTTGATTGTTCTACAAGGCCAGAAGTGCTTTCAATTCTAGTTAAAGTGTGATCCTTTACTACAGCCTATAGTTATATATCACTGCTTCTCTCACTACTTCAATTTAATTATAGTCATATTACTTTTTCAAGTAAGTACTCCACAAGTTGGATACAGAGATGTTGGTACTGCCTCCAGATCACTCAACCAGAGGACTAATTTGGACAATTTTTATATAACTGAACTTTCTATAACACTGCTATCATATATAGTGCCTACACTTCACAACCTGATCTTTTTTTAGGAACTCCTTATTCTGGTTTTGTACTGCACTTGAACTTCACAAAGCTTCACATTTGATTTTATAGCTTTTGTAGATTATAAAAACATATTTTATTAAAATTTGTCTTCAGCTTGTCTCAAATTATTGACCTAGTCTGTGAGAGTTTGGGAGCTTAACTGCTAAGCTATGGGGTTCAAACACTGCAAATTAGAATTTATTATATACAAGAGCAAATTTAATTTAGATAATTATATTTCTGATAATTTCTTTCTTCAAAAAAAATATTATCTTTTAATTAAAATAAATCAAAAACAATTTCATCTTCAAATTTTAATTTTGGGTTTTAAACTCTAAAATAATTTCATTAGCATATATAGCCTAGACCTTTTGTGACACTACTATTACACATGATAACAGCCCTTCATGATCAGAGCTTCTTCTGGGAATTTCTATTCCAGAACTGTACTTGTACTTGAACTTTCTACAAGACTTTGTATCTGATTATAGCTTTATAAGATTGCAGTAACAAATTCAAAAATTTGCCACCAGCTTGACTTGAATCATTGCTTTGTCTGTAGGAGTTTGAAACTTAATCAGTAAGCTATAGAGCCAAACTCTTATATGTAGCTACTTAATAAAATACAAAATAAAATAATAATATAATAATAATACTAATAAAAATACTAATACAAAATATAAAATAACAGATATTTTATAGAATAGGTGGCCAATATAAGAAACAAGCTTCGCTAATGATTAGTAATCATTAATTATTTAATAGCGGAGTTGCAGAGTTTGCGGAGTTTGCCCACCTATTTTATAGAACATCTTAAAAAAAACTTGTTCTATAACATTATTTAAAAAATTAAAATACAGTATTTTATATAACTGTTAAATATAAATTTTCTGCACTATAAATAAACAAATATATACTAATAAATTGCTATATTATAAATAACTTGTTTAACAATATTTATACTGATAATTTATTTTAATATTGTAATAAAAAAAAATTTTATACTATTAAAAATAGCTAATATAAATAATAATTTAAAATTTTACAGTCTATATTTTAATTGCTTTTTATACTATAAAAAAACTATAATTTTATTAAAGAGTTAGTAATTATAAATTGGTTGTTTGCTTGATAGTAATTGTATTAATAGATTTTTTTAATGGTAAAATATTATACAGTATATACAGTATATTACAAGAAGTACTGTATATTTTATATACTATATATTACACTTTAACCACTTCAAATACCATTAAATAGTGATTAGAATAACGGATACACAAATCCATTCATTATATTATTTAAAAATCACGACAGTATTATTTATATTACATATAATACCAATTCCAGAACGGACTACGTACTAATATTTAACGCTAATTCGTTATATCTAAGAATGGCATGATCTTCGTAATTGTTCCTTTTATGAATTCACAGGTATATAAGCACCTGTTTTTTTACTCAGACCAATGTACTTTTCCGCAATCCTTTTGCTCACAAGGTACTTGAAACATATTATTTTGTTTTTCTATTTTTTTTTTTTTTTTTTTGCCTAGATATAATAAAATCGACCAGCGCAAGCTAAACGTAACTATATATAGTCTTACGAAAACCGTTTATGAACTAGAGGGGGAATACAACAACCAAATAATTATAAAAATTAAAACATGCATAAATTTACAGGACGTGGAAAGGAGACTAAAGGGTTAGGTAAAGGCTTAGGTAAAGGTGGAAAGGTATCTGCTCAACGGCATAGGGTAAGAACACAAATTTACTTAGTCACCGAAATACCTAAACATGTATAAGAGAAATTTACTATGTTAATGATAGAATAATTAATCGAATAATTTTTTTTAATCATAGAAACTTTTGCGCGAGAATATTAAGGGTATCACAAAACCGGCTATTCGCAGACTTGCCCGTCGTGGTGGTGTAAAGCGAATATCAGCGGGCATATATGAAAATGTGCGTAGCGCTTTAAAAGATTTCCTGACAGATGTTCTTCGGGATACAGTTTCTTATGTTGAATATGAACGAAAGAAAACTGTTACTGTAATGGAGATATTATTGGCTCTTAAGCGACGGGGGAGAACAATCTACGGTTTTGATCACGAAATCAAGGGTCGAAAACCTCAGCATTACTATTAGGTTACAACCTAAACTTTTTTCGGATGAAATTATTACGTAGTTTGGGTTTGAGAAACAGGATTTCTAATTTATTTGGATAATAACCCAAACCAAATACGTATATCATGCTATTTTCGGTCAATAGTATCAAACACCTTCGTTTTCATTTTCGAATTGAAAACCGAAGAGTGATTTAGCGATTAAGCCGAATTATCAAATAAATTAGTGAGCTAGGTCAAACAGTTATATCGGAAATGTATGCAATGAATAAAATCTTTATAAAGATGAAGCTTTTCACATCTAAATAAACTTCAAATCATAAATAATAAGCTTTTCAACTACGTTTTTTTGAGCTTTGAGAAGTGTCTAATAGTAATTGAGATTATCTGTGTATTGTAGTACTCTTTGTAAATTAACACAAAAATAAGAATTAATGATTTGAAACGAGTATAAAATTGTCAATCAATAATTATTAATATCTTACCGAATATGAGATGCGCCATAGCATTCAACTCAGTACAACATAGGAGTTTCACTGACAAGAACTTTCCCGTTATAGACACTGAAAATAATCGAGAATTAGCAAATAAAAGGAAATAATCCTTACCTTCG